GAAATGCCAGCGTGGCTGAAGAAGATTGGACCATGTGATGGATTTATGGGTGTGGGGATAAGATCACGAACTTTCAACTGGGTGGAATCCCAGGAAGCTTTCAGAATTGGGATATTTCCACAGATGTGCCAACAAGTCTGACTTATTAAATTGGAACTTTAATGATAGCTCTGCCTTGGACTCTGATTTAATTCTGCATGATATTTGGAACGCTGACACTGGATTTCTTTTGAAACTTGGCTCGAGGCTTGTAAGTTAATTAAGGTATCTTTTGGAAACCTGACATTGAGCTCCTCCAGGATACAGTATTTTTGAACTTTCCAGTTACAACTCTGTTATTTCCTGATGGTCTCCCATCCAAGTAAGTTAGGGATATCTTTGTGTACAGTGTTAGGAGAAGAAGCAACGGATGGAAATTAATCAAAGTGAGAAGCAACCTAGAACTAAGAAGAAATTTCCTGACAGTGAGAACAACCGACCAGTGGAATGGCTTTCCTCCAGATGTTGTGGACACTCCATCATTGGAGGCTTTTAAGAAGAGACGGGACAGTCACTTTCTGAAATGGTCTAAGGTCTCCTGCTTGAGCAGGGGGGGTTGGACTAGAAGACCTCCAAGATCCCTTCCAAATCTGTTATTCTGACAACTGAGAAACAGAATGTCAGACTTCAGGACTGAGAATGAAGTTGTTGGAGATTTATTGTGATTATAGCGTAATTAATAGCGTAATTAATGAAAGTGCTTTAATACCAGGGAGAAAGGTAAGGAGGACAGGTTTGAGGCAGACTGTTATATCACTGACTATTAACTGTAGACTTCGATCAAGAAGTATTTTGACCTTTTCTATGAATCATTATGATATAACACTTGGAAATTATTGGTAATTCAGCTTTACACTGTCAGTTACTTATTAAGGGACAATGGATCGAATTTATGGCTTTTTAGAAAAATGACGTTTTTTAAAAGTTCATTTTTCACACGTAGTATTGTGAAAATTGTAAAGTTTAAAAGAATCCGGCAGTGAATTATTAGGTGGACAACCTGTCAGAGATCAACAATTTCAGGACCTTATTTTTTTCAAAGTTCCCCACTCTCCTTTGCCTACTCTTGGCCTGAAGTCTTCTGTTTGTGGATCCTGTCTAATATCTCTCTAAGCCAAGGGTGTCAAACTCAAGGCCTGTGGGGTGTTTATTTATTTTAGAAAAAAAATATTGAAAAGTTTTTTTTTTAAAAAAAAGACACAAAAAATATTTTTTTTGCAATTTCCTTTGTACAACATTTCCACCTCGGTATACATCCATTGTAAATGTACAGTACATCTCCCCCTTAATCCAATTTCTCTTTGTCTAAACATATGATACTATTATATACAATCCTTAATTTACAATCCTCCTTTCCATTTATGCATGTTTGTTCATCTCTACCTATACATTGTTAATTTCTAACTGCTATGTCTTCATTTAGTCTTTCCTTAAGCTTTACACCTCTCCTCTAGCCATTTGTACCACTCATTCCATATAATATTGTTTCCTCCTTTTCTTTTATTACTTTTGTAAATTTGTCCATCTCTGCACACTCTAAAACTTTCATTATAACATGAAAGTGTTTATATCTATAGAATAACAGAGTTGGAAGGGACCTTGAAAGCCTTAGAGTCCAACCCCAACTAGGCAGGAACCCCTACACCACTTCAGACAAATGGATAGGATCTTTGGCCTGCCACATTTTCTATTATTCTACTATGCATTTTCTATTGTGGGAAAATGGGAGGGGGATTGTATGGAGTTAGATGATATGCAGCCATAACAAAATTCTTTCTAGAAAGCCAAGGTCACCTCTGCACCTGACCAGAACTGGATGGCTGGAACTGCCAGCATAGCATGGCAGTGGAAGATTGGACCACGTGAAGGACTTGTGGGTGTGGGGGCAAGATCTTGAATTTTCAACTAGGTGGGAAGCTTTCAGATTCGGGTTTTCCCAGATGTGCCAACATGGCTCTCTTAATAAAGTGGAACTTTGAGCAATACTTTGCCTTGGACTCTGATTTACTTTTGGATGCTCTTTGAAACCCTGACAGATGCATTTCACTGCATACAATTCAACAAACAAATATCAACTTGGAATAAGAAATGTAATACTAATAATAATGTGTAGAGATTCATTTTAAAGAATACAAATCAGCGGCAGCTTGATCAGAAAATATATAGACTGTGTTATTGGGTTTCCTATTAACTCTACCTGTGAGATTTATAAAAATCTTTTATTAAAAATATATTTTTTTAAAGGTGTTTTTATATGTTAGATTTTGTGCTTTAGCTATTAGGCAAGATTAGGTAAAGGTAAAGGTTCCCCCCGCACATATGTGCTAGTTGTTCCTGACTTTAGGGGGCGGTGCTCATGTCCATTTCAAAGCTGAAGAGCCAGCGCTATCTGAAGATGTCTCTGTGGTCATGTGGCCGGCTTGACTAAATGCCAAAGGCGCATAGAACGCTGTTACCTTCCCACCAAAGGTGGTTCCTATTTTTCTACTTGCATTTTTTCTTGCTTTCAAACTGCTAGGTTGGCAGAAGCTGGGACAAGTAACGGGAGCTTATTCCTTTACATGGCGCTAGGGATTCAAACTGCTGAAGTGCCAACCTTTCTGATCGATAAACTCAGCATCTTAGCCATTGAGCCACCACGTCTCTAGTAGGCAAGATTACAAGGAGGTAAATTCACAAGGAACAAATAGTTCTCCACTTATAAGAATTGAGACGAAAAATTCCATTGCTAAGTGAGACAGTTAAATGGCCTTTTTGCCACTAAGTGAATCATTGCTGTTGTTAAGTTAGTCACATGGTGGTGAAGTCAATCCGGCTTCCCCATTGACTTTGCTTGTCAGGAAGTCGTGAAAGGGGATTGCACAACGCTGCAACCCTCGTAAGTAGACGCCAGTTGCCAAGTGTCTGAATTTTGATCACGTAACCAATCCAAGGATGCTTCAACGTTTGTGTGAAAAATGACCATAAGTCACTTTTCTCAGTGCTGTTGTAACATTCAGTGGTCATGAAACAAACGATTGTAAGCGTAGGATAACTTGTAATAAGCAGGGTTTCTTTTTCCAATTCGAGTTTTTTTAAATACAAATTCTACATATTATAGGAACAAAGTGTTGTCTTTTTCTTTTACCTCCTCTCATTGACATCGTCCATTTTGCATCATAGTCTTGTTTTCACTTTCAGCCAAATTATTCCATCTTTATAATTATTTTTTCTTATTACATAAAGAGTGTCTTCAATTGCCCCTTCACAGTTACACCAAATTTTCAATTCTTATTTTCTCCAGTGGTATATTTTGCTACAGTGTTTATCCTCTGATTCAATTTAAACCCAGAGAGCATTTCTTTCAGTTTTTTTTCTATATTTAACAATATGTTGAATGTTGAATGTTGAA